GCAATGTTCCCCGCAAGTCTGGCCCTGCCCCCCTCTCCTCACTGCCACGTCTGTCCAACTCAGCAGCTCAGGGTGATGCAAAGATGGAGAAGCAACAAAAGGCCTCTGTCTGTCGTAAAATTAATTGGCTTTAAGGAGTTAACCGTCTGGACCGGCGGTTACAATCAGTAATTAGAGTTAATTGTAGAAATATAGTGAAATATAGTGGAATCAGTATGATTATATTAGAGAACTCAATATCAAAACAGTAATCCCCCAAACAAATCAATAGGAGTATTTTGTCTTGATCAATATGAGTAATGCATTGTGATTTCTTTAACATATCTCTACTCTTTGCTTAGAGCATGCAAACTTCATGCTTCACTCATAAATTCCATTAACTCGAGTCCAAAACCCCAAACGACTCAATAATATAATATGATATAATAATGAATTAATAATAATAGTACTTTTCATTTAATAATGTATAAAAAACAAATACACTTTGTTTAAAATTTGGATTTCCCCCCCTTAAACCCTCTTCTCCTATAACAAACATGTAAATTGTCTGGACTTGCCAGTTGAGATTACTGACAGATGGAAGGGGGTTGGCATTTGAAACATCCTGCATGTTGAACTTGTATTAAAATGCACAAATCTGTTTCTTTATTAGTTTTGAAATGTACAAATCACTGCTTGCCAATTAACAATCCACAATTTTTTGTTAAATATATGTTTTTGTTTTTTTCTAGAAAGTATACATTTAAAATTCTTGTTTAAGGTGTTACAAAAACACCTCTTTACCTCCAGGGGTTGTTGACCGTCAAAAGCCCCCCCCAAAAGCAACAGTTTACACTCAAATTCCTCAACTGTGGGCTACCCCTGGGTCATCCAAGTCCATACAACTAAACTAATACACATCTCTCCCTAATGAATGAAACAGCAGCCCCAATAGCATTCACATATAGTAAGACTTCTTCTAACAGTTAAAGGTCTATCTGTGTGGTCCCTCAGTCATACAGGTATGGTCCATAGCAAAACAAAAGAAATTCAATTCTGTTACCTGGGCAAAAAGACAGAATTAAAATTTTCTTTTGTTATAGTTAAAATGCTACATCTGTGAGGAAGGAAACACATCTAATTTGTCCTAAATTAGGAGAACAATATGATGACGTGTGTTTCAGGAAATCTGGGGGATGCATGAAGGTAATTACTATGGTTTTATATACAGTGGAGTAACAAAGGCAGTGGCAAGTACAGTAAGATGGAAGTGTTTGGAAATAGACAGAAATATTGTGTCTAAAAATTTTACTTTACAAATCAATGTTTCATGTATTTAGTTTAAAATTATTTACTGCACTGGACATTTTTATAACTGCTTTTAAACTGTCAAAAAGATTTTTGATCTCTACATTTGAAAGAGACCTTTAAGACTTTTAAGATTTTATATTTGGTATCATTTTCAACCTCTGCACATACTATGTCTGTGTACAATTTAAAGACCAAAATATCTATCTGATGAAAAGGTTTGTTAAAAAAATCTTCAAAACACTTTTTTCCTGACTGTAGAGTTTCGGATTGGGCGGAGCTGTTATATAATTCTCTACAGAGCATCTGAGGACATGAGGCAACATCTGGACGTCATTGCATCGCCCTCAGCTTCGGTGCTCACACAGAGTTGTGGCAATTCGCTAAATTTAGTCTGGCTAATTCTACTGAATCAAAGTCATTTCTGAAGTGGTCTTTATCTTAAGATTTGACCATTTTCCTTTTTTAAAGACAGGATTCAAGTTCAGTGACCAAATAAGGTGATTATTATATCTCTGAAATATAAATATCCGGTATGTGATTTTTCTCAAGGGACTTAGTATGGAAAATGTGAAAGAACGAGGAAAGATGGTTTACTACACTTCTTGTAATAACTCGAAGTCCTTCACTGTTTTGTCCCCAGACAAGAAGCAAAAAACTTTACACTATACATGGATTTCAAAACATCTTATTGTGACTCCTGGTGTCTTTAACAAATCTATTCATTTTCTCCTTAAAATCACACAATTGATCTAATACATTGTGCCCATTAAAATATCAGTAGATGGTGCCATGTATAAAGTAACTGTGCATTACATATAATGTGAGTACTTTCTAGAAAGGTAAGGTAGACTTTGGCAAGATAAAATACTGAGGGAAAACATCACTGTATAATTTGCAGCTACGTTTTGTGGTAAAACTGCAAACTCAGCAACTGTAATTATATAAGTGATGTGGATCTCAAAGGCTCCACTGGAAAAAGGAAAGTGTCAATGATGCAACAGGTCTAAAACATTTCAGAAGATCTGATCTAAAGTTTCAGAGTTTGGTATGAAAACAATACTTTAAAACAAGTTTCTCAGATGTTGTTGAAGTTTATACCAAATGTATTTCATGCTTTTTGCAATGACTAATGAGCTAGAACTAGATTTGTCTCATCCAACTATATTCCACTATAAACTTACATGTTTCTAATACAAAAATATATATTCTTAGTACTTGTATATTATAAAGAAAAAATATAAATTATATTGGAACTAATATAATGTAATTTAGAGCCTTGTTCTTAAGCTGTAGTATATTTTATTGTGATGACTGGATTGGCATTTGCCACGCACAGAACTCAGTTGTACTGCGGACATTCATCCACTAGATGGCAATAAATATTCAGAGCTAATTACCTGAAGCTGAGATACACTATACATGGGGTTCTTTATTCCTGAAAAGACAATCTTACCAACACTCTATTAGTCAAGCATATATATGAAGATTTATTGCTCATTATTTGCGTCACCACTGAAAATTATCTTAAAATGTGCAATGATTTACATGTTGCAGATCTCACACCAGATGTCATACTGGTGTTACTCTGTAGCATCTGTCCAGGTTTGGAACAGCTGATCTTTGTAGCTGGATGGAAATTACTGAAATGTTTTTTTTTAAACAACTTCACAATGTTCAGTTTGCTTGTCCTAACTGAAAACTACTAGCTATTCATATTAAGAACATTACAATTAACCGGACCACATATTGAAATATTGACCGATCCCTTTAAGCAACATGAGTCACAAAAATACCATCATGCTCGCCCAGTGAGCAGACTCGTGGGGTTGTGTCCGATGCCTGCAGCAGGTGGATGCTGGTTGGCCTTTAAGAAAAGGTGAGTTCAAAACGTGCCACAGCAGCCCGTCTCTCTGACTAATGCCAACCTGTGGAGAGACGAGAGGGAAGCCCGGGTCAAATACTTCAAAAACAGACACGCTACAAGCAGGAAGTCCCCAGCTGATAGTGCTCAGAGGCAGAGTGGAGATGAGGATAGAGATCACTGACTGTTTATTAACAAATCATTAAAGGGCTTATATTACAAAAATGACTCTTACGAGCTTTTAGTCATATTGAAATTCTCATCAAACGCATACCTAGAGTTGTGTTTTGTTTCATTCACACATTCTTGAGTAATCCTTTATTATTAGTTAGTCTGTTTCCAAAGCTCAAAATGCTCTGTTCCACCTTGCGATGCCATGAAGTGATAGTTTTTGAGATAATAGCAACCTTTTACCTTAACATATAACTTAACATACATAAGGAAAAATAACATAATATGGGCTCTTTAACAAAGTTTACTATACATAAAAGTGTATAGGAAAAATAAGTGCATGTTTGAAGCAAAGCAGATGAAAATGTACTTAGGACTATTCTGTGTTGTTTATGTATTTACTAGTGTTTATGTATTTTCTCTTACATGCCAAGCAACAGAAATGGGTTGTTATGCTACAGTTTGGTACATGCATATGGAGAAAACAGATTACATAGTCCAGATCTCACATTTTACAATAAACGTTTGTAACAGTCCTACAGTATTTTTTTCGATGTGCATTCATATTCTTCCTATTGATATAGTCCTTGATTTTCTCTTGATAGTAAACCTTTCAAGTTAAGACGGCTACACACAAAACACTTTGATTAGGCTTTTACATATATTTCACTGGCTTCAACTTGCAGTCTGTTTCCTTGGTGATGAACCAGGCAAGAAGCTCTGTAAGATGTATAGTAATCCAGTTTGATCCAACTATTGTTCTGTTGTAGAAATAAATTGAGAAAATGCTATATTTACTTATTGAATGATTGCACATTATTATCACATGTGTTTTGTTACATTTCTTAAAAGGAAGAATCTAAGACACATCTTTAACATCACTGGACACAATCTGACAGGATTGAGCACTATCCCATTTACCTTTTTTATGCCATTTTGAGATATTTTAAATATTTGCCATGCCACGACTTTACCAGTATTAAAAATAATAATATAAAAATATAATACAATAAAACACAAACATTATATGGAGGACCTCTGATAGATCCACAGTAGGCCTACATTGGCAAGTATTCACACCATGCCACCGACAGGCGGCAGTCTGTCTCTGTCCCAATCAAATACAATCTAGTCCCAATCACAGACCAAATTTAATTCGGACCACACCAAAGATATTTGGGGTTTATATTTTTAAGTAATCAAACATGTGTCATGTCATCAGAACGTCTAATGTATTAATCTTAAATAATACATTTTGACAAAAAGGAAAACAACAACAAAATATTAGCCTTACCCTTCGTTGATTTAGGCATAGGCTATGTCATGGTGCTCATACTCATATAAAAAGCAAGTAAGCACAATCAATAATGAGTAATAAAAAGCCAATTTACAGCATATGGATCATGGATCTATTCTGTGGACCAAAGATGCACGTTGTTGCGTTCAGTGACCAAGAGGAGATCTCCCTTATATTGTTCATCGCTGGTGATTACTTGGTCGCGCATAAAATGATTAGCACGTTTTGGATATTAAAGATGGTTATTTAATCCTTGATATTATTTTACTCTTTATTATCGTCAATATATTTCAAAATGTCGAAAAACTATGATGTGAAGGTTACTATTTCCCACTGTATGTGAAGGCGCTCCGTCACTGTACACTCGGGGCAGAGTTAAAACAGACCGACTCTCCTCTCTTGTCTCAGTCATGCTTTGAATTACTACAGATCGGGAACAAACAATACACGGGCGCACGCTATTACCCAATGAAGCCTTCTTTCTATCAAGATGCAAGACTTTAATTCGCTAAACTAAGCAGCCCGCCACTGCCGTCCCGTGCGCAAAACCGAACCCGCTTTTTGTCCTTTTGTTTTCGCGGAGAGAACTTGAGCACTGTCAGCATTTTGCCATCGCGGGACCGGGGCCACCCACCCACCTTTGGTTCGACTCTGATCGGGTTGCTCCAGTCGAGTTATCCCCGCTCGACTCTCCTCTCTGGGGGTACAGCCGGGGGAAGGAAGCGAACACTCAAATCGGTGCCAAAAAGACAGGAAGAAAGAGGAGGGGTACTTAGCCTCGGACAGGTGAGTTACTTTGAAATATTAGCGCTCCTGTTTTCTTGCCTTTACAGAGAAGAATGATAAACGAATAAGCCTTTATATTATAAACTATTATCTTTCTTGATCATATCAGCTTGATTGAAAAGTTGTCATACAAACCGTTTTTTAAGAAAAATATGACTAGACTACAAACATTGTTATTGAATTAGGCTTAACAATTTAACTAATTGCATTTATTTAGAAAACTTTTAAAGAATTAGCCTAATTTTAGTGTACCTGTTAAGTAAATGTAGTAGTAGCACAATTTGAAGTAACCATGGTCACACACATGGTTTGTGTTAGATATCCTAGCTAATTGGGCCAGTTACTTCTAACATGGCTCATAAACTTTATTTTATGTTACCTTCATGTTGCCCATGTATTTTACCTAATTAGCTCTCTGTCTCCACTCTTCATAATTGTGTAATTTCTATTTCACATTCAAAAAGGGGGCAAAATTAAAGGTCTTATGTTACACAAAATGGATTATTTTGCGATTTAAACCGTTATAATGACGCTCCCTCTTCAAAAAACAGACCTGGAGCTTGTAGAAAATTTATCTATTCAACAGAGCTGTGCTTTGTTTCATTCGCACATGTTTAATTAACCTTTATTAGTCTGTCTACATCTCCAAAGCTCAAAATGCTCTGCTCCACCTTGTGATGTCATGAAGTGGTAGTTTTCAAGTTAACAGCAACCTTTTACTTTAGTCAGGAGATACTGGAAATTCCATGGCTGAAATCATCCAAATGGTTGTTGTGAAAGTTTATGGAGTTTAAAAACACATTGGAGCATTTCCTGTATTGGCACATTACATCATAAGGTGGAACAGTGTATCTTCTGTTTGAGAGAAGAACACAACTTTGGGTATGTTTGTGAGGAGGAAACAACATTATAATGTAAATCAGAAAACAGCGTAATATGGGCCCTTTAAAACTTCATTTATTTGAACAATTGCTGCTTGGTCTTCTAAAAATACTATAAGCCTGAGCACATCAAGAAAGCAAATGCCAAGTAACCTCAGGTTTGCTTGCTTTTCAGTTGGTTAATGGGTAGTATCACTGAATTATTCATAGCATTTAAAATGTCTGAAAGGATTGTCATTGATATTAATAGTTAAAATTCACCCATTTGACTTTTACCATCTTGAGTATGTTGCCTTATTTTAGTGCTGCTAGGTGATCTTTCATTAAAAACATGCAGTTAAGGGTCCCAGTGATTAACTCTGCATCGTATTTCTTGACATAGTTAGTTTGGTGGCTCAATGCCCAGTGCTCATATTTTCAGCTCTGTTCAAATCACTGTAAATCATGTCTGCTTGCTCTATCTTGATTTTCCCTTTTGCAAAATGAACGGAATGATTTGTTGCTTCTGTTGCCGTTGTTTTTAAGCTTCTGCCAATTACTGGAGGTTATTAATATAATAACTTGAAGGTTATGACACTTTGTGCAATCGGGCTTGAAGTCATAACTTTTAAAAAATAGGATCTTTTAGAGGTAGTTTTGGTTAACGGCTACCTTTCACCTTTAGTTCAGTACAGATTGGCAATTGCACAGTTGAAATCATCCAAATGATTCGGATGAAGGTGTATGGAGTTTAAAAACACAGTGGAGTACTTCCTGTATTACCAGATGACATCACAAACTGGAACAGAGTGTTTGACAGATGAACTCTAAATATGCAGGGTTTACGTGTTAAAATGTGTGAATGAAACACATGATGAGGAAACAGCATTAAAATAGAGATTAGAAAAGAGTTTAATAATTTAAGTTTAAGTTTCATGTGAATTGGACTATATATGAAACCAATTATCACATCTTTAGCTGGTATTTTATCCTATATGTTTTATGAAATATTTATAATGTTATTTTCTTTGTCTTGCGTTCTGGATACCAATATTCAATGATGAAGGCTGTTCCAAATGTACCAACTGTACCCTACCTAATAGCCTCTCCTACACATTCTTGGATAAGACAAGCTCCAATATAACACCTCATTTGAATGTAGCCTGTCTAGTGTCAGTATCCACGCGGACAGCTCATTTGAGACGTGCATTGATTGTGTGTCCTGTGGTATTACCTTGCTTCTTACGTAACTGCAGTTGTGCTTACCCCTGTCTGTTTACCACACCTTAAATGAGATAACATGCCAGAAAGTCATCCCTGGATCAACTGAGGGAGCTGCAGCTTGGATTACAGTTAGGCTGATACTGGGCAGGGTTAAAATGAAGTCAAAATGTCAATCTCTGTGCGTTGTCAACGATCAGTTATTTTTGTGTAGAATAACAAGAAAACAGTTTTGCATAAAATAGGGCTGTCACGCTAACAATTTTTTGAAACGTGATATATTGCTGAAGTATAGACTATAAACGATAATATTGCAACAAAACCAAACCATAAAACTTATCATCAAAAAAGTATCCTTAATCTATAGTAATCTTAAAAAAAACATGAGCTACAATAAATAAATAGCAGAATATAACACTTTACTAATAATTTGTATCCTTCAAGTTCATAAGTCAACCAAAAAATAGCAAGATTTCCCACTCGTAAGTGCCCATGATAACTATTGACCCCCCTAAATTTTTGTTCCATCTATCATATATTGAACAGTAAATTTATAGTAATTAGACAGGCCTAGCATAAAAATGTAATGCATGTCTTACATTGCTATTAAAACTGTGTTAAATATTAATTTACAAAACTTGAGTCTCTTATTAAAATAGCAGCAGATACAACAATAATGAATTTTTTTGCTTTGACTGTTCTGTCGTTGTGTCCTTGTGTATGGCATTATCCTGTCTTAAACGAGACGAGTCATTTAGATCATAATAAGAAGGTATGTTTTCCAAGGTACCTTTGAGCAATAAAAACAAATGTTTTAATAGGAAATAATATGGATATATCAGTTCCATACTGTAACACCCTAGGCAACAGATTATCATCTTCATGGAGGCAAAGCGGCGAACCCTCGAGAAAAGTTACATCGTGCACCTTTTTAATATTTAAAGTAGCAACCAACATGCGTTCAATAGCTTTATACCCATACCACAACATGGCTCTAATAACCTTCGTGTTTGAAATGGATTAAGTGTGCTTTTAAAGGTAGCATCTGTTTTTGTTGATGGCGATGTTTGGTTCTTTGTATTTCATAAGAGGCCTTGAAGCATACCAAGACAAACAGTGGCAGTTAGCATAATGGAGTCATGCTTCCCCTGTGGTTACAAAGTGAATCTCCTCCATTTCAATTGAATGTAACTTAAATATTGATTGGTGAGGCCCATTTTTTCTTTGGTGAAGCTAAATGAAAAGCCTGAATTCATGGCGGTTTAGCAACCGACCACTCTACAACTAAGGTAGCTATTAAAACATGGCTCCAGATGTTTGTCAGGTTCTTCAATTTTTTCACGATTGTGGTTGTTGATTTAGTATGTTTGCAACTCAAGGCAATGTTTTTCAAAACTTCAAAATGATAGAAACCTTTTATATTTTGAGGCTACATACATATATGGACCTATTGTAATGTAATGCGTTCATGCCGTCTCACATTGGCTAAAATATAATATGTGAAATCTCTGTACTGAAGTTAGGACATGCTAACTGAGACACTTTATTAGATTGAACTCACAATTAGGGCTGTGCAATATGGTAACCAAAGTCACATCTTGATTCCTGAGATTACTATTATAGGAGGTGTTGTCGTAGGATACACTGCTTCTATTTAATGCAGCTCTTCGCTCAAACACAGACACTTTCCCCAACCCACTCCTTAGTGAGTGGCCAATGGAAATAACCAATCACATAAAATGTGAAATTTACTTAGGTGCTAAATATTTAATGGCATTATTAAGATACCAAGTGTACATGGATTGTGATAAAAAAAAAAAATTAACTGACCTGTAAATCTTTGAAAAAATAAAAGATCAATACTGCTGCCCTAAACAAGGATAGTCTATTCCTAAGACAATTCCTGAAAAGTGCTGCAGTGTTTCCCATTAATACTAGGATTATGCTAGCCCTCCCAGTCTGAAACATGCCACAATAAAATCACTTTTAATGACAATGTACTGTTGTATACCGATAAACACAGGATAATTATGTGTGCTACCATAGTCTCAAAAAAAAAGTCCTTCTGAACACCATACTAATTATGTTTATATGTCAATACAACAATTGGATGTTGTACACTACTACTACACACAACACTACTACACAACACTAGTGTCATGTCTTCTACTTGATTTGTCTCCTGTTGAGTCCCATGCTGTTTGTCTATAGTGGTCCCCCTCTGTGTCAAAGATGCCTGACATTTGTGTAAACACCACAAACTTCCTCTATCACAGCTGAGCCATGGTTCAGCAGCATCTAGGGCTTTAGTCCTCAAGAAATTCTTAGTCGAAAGACATGATGGTGCTGGTTGATTAGTCAACTAAAAAGGAAGCATGGCAAAAGCTCTCAAAACTCTTGCATATCTATGTCTCTGACACAAATTGCACTCACAAGACTATACCTCCACAGGAATTCATTGTAAACACAACTAATTATGTAAATACATTTTTACTAGTACTTTTACTGCATAAAGACAGATTAAACTTAAATCTCACTTTTTACACATAAACAATAGGGGTCTACATTCTGCCACTACAGCTACACGAAAGGCTCGACTCTTTAATATTCACAAGGGAACCCGTCTGTGATTGGGGCGATAGTGTTTTCCAAAGTGCTTTATAGTTGGGGTGGCCTCCTTGACAATTGCCCCCTGCCTTGACTGGTCCTCACTTTTGCCTTTCGCCGACATGGAATCTCCGCCACTAAATGATTAGTTGTCTACAATATCGGCTGATTAATGACGTGAACTTAAGGCCTACAGCCTTAGTAGCATCCAGTCAGAAAGGGCCCTTCAGACCAGTAACATAAGGCATGCTTTTGAGTAGGTATATGGTTAAGGCCTAATTGATATAATTGTCTCTGGATTAAAGGACTACA